GTTGCTCAGCTCACCTGTAGATCCGATTCTGTACTCGTTTGTCCGAGAAATGCTTTTTTCTCGTCCTGATTTATGTCGTCCTCTCGGTCAGGACTACTCCTCCAACCTGGTGCCTCCTTTTCAGAAAGCCGGTCTAGAGAGCTTGCTGGCCTCAACCGGCCTTCTTGTCGGTTGCCAGAGTTGTACTCATTCTCTTCACCATGACAATTGTTGCTGGCCGAGGCGCTTATGTGGCCAAATGAAGAAGGAAGTCCAGGCTGGCTGCAGTTGAAGTCACTCGAGCTGTTGGGAGACAGAGTTCCGGCAGTAACTGTACCACCCCTTGCTTTGGTAAAACATGACGGATTCACAGGATAGATGGTGTCTGTATTGAGTAGACGGTTTCGACTCGGCAACATGTCGCTTATTGTTATCGATCTAGGCATTGTTCCTGCTAAATAAACATGAAAAAATTGTTGAATTAAACTACAGATTATTTAGTCATTTATCTTTTTGTACAGGTTGTGTATAGAGTATGGTCAAAATTGATTATAATTTATGTGCCAGACATTATGCAAAATAAAGTTTGTCACTTGTGAAAAGAAATTAGTTGAATAATTTTGTAAAATATTAACATACAGAATATAGGTCAAAACTACCTATAAAAAGTGATGAAGCAGTGTAACTCACCTTTGTCTCGAGATTAAAGCAACTTGAATAATGCTAGCCAAGATTTCTAAAGATGTTCATGTGTTTTCATATACTGAACTAGTGGATCCTTAACTGCTAGAAAACCAGCCATTTGTGCAGCAAAGCCTATTAGGTTTTAGGCTACAAAACTGACTTGGATCAGGCTAAAAACAGAATTTTGGCTGTAAGGAGAAAAAGATGAAACCAATAATTATTCAAGTCTACTGGGTTGTATATCATTTTCGATTCACCACTTGTCGGACGGATACCGACTCTGCAAATGACTAATCTAGTCATGCTTTTCAGTTCACTTTCTATGAATCCCAGAAAGCCTTTCCACATCGGCTCCTCATGACTCCAACAAGGTGATAAATCCTGTACGGGAGGTTGGCTTCTTGGCCAAACAACTTTGGTGTTCTTGTTTTGCACAAGGAAGCATGGCTTTCTGAACAACCAAAGTCACTCTCATAGCACAACATGCACTGGAGACTACCTCGTTCGAGTCCCGCTGGAAGGACTGATGAGACGACCAATCAAGGCCGCTGCCACAGTCCAATCTGAAGTAAAAGGGCCACAGTCAAATTCATAGCATATTCTGGGCATTATACAAAATCTATTATGAGTTAGTTAGGCGTCACCCAAACAAGAAACCAGCAGGAATTGGTATATCTCGAAAGCTGTGGCAGACAAGACAGATAAAATGGAAAGGAAGAAGTAAACTTTGAATTTTTCATCGTTTCTCTCTGACTGTGCTGGGCGTTATGAAAAATATGACAAATAAGCGAGTGATAGAGTGTGTCGAAGGCAAGTTATGAAGTACAAGAGTATGCATTTTCTTTAGGCCTTTCATAATAATCATGTCGAAAAGTTTTGGTCTACCCTTCACCACTTTGTGAGGATACATTATTACAACCTTTTGGTTTTCACAGTCTCTTCACGCCGTCTTTAATCATAGTTTCGAAGATAATGTAGCTAGGCTTGATGGTGAATCTTACACCAGTTCGAATGCATCGCAATAATCAGTCTCAGCCAGGATTCGCGAGTCCGCCAGTTTTTACTTGTAACCGTCTCGGAATATGTTCTGCTGCTAAGCGGAATTCCAACAGCAGGTGTTCGAAGGAAAAAGATTAATCGGGTGATAGGTGGAAGTCGGGCAGATTTGGTATATTTAATGTCTACCGTTAAATGATAAAAAGAGTCGTTTCGATACAAACAACCGGCAAAAAAGTAGTTTTTAGAGGAATCTATTTATTTACATAAGTTGAGCTCACGACCAATTTGAGTAAGAATATGCCATACAGAGATTTTTAAGTTTATTTTAGCGAAATATTGCAGCGGATTCATTTATTTTGGCAAGTTGTCGTTTAGCTTTGCTTGTAGTTTCTGTGTGATCTAGCCGACAAGATAATTTACTTAACTTCAGGTGAAAATAAGCTGACTTTATCATTCTGGGTGCCATTCCTCAGACCACATAAAGCTAATTATTTGGTTATTTTATCTCAAATTGGAACCCAAAAATATGTGTCTATTGTGCGTCTAGATGCTCGAATCCAGCATTATCTACTTTTTTCTAGTCGCCTGTCCACACTCGTACGATGCCTGGTTTAACCCTGAACTCTCGGGCCCTCTTAGAGAAAATTGGTCCCATCGGTCTACTCGGTTATTCTAATTATATAATATATAAGTAATAGAATAATATATATAATAATAATATACAATACTTTCGAGTAATTACTTCATATATTTGGCATATGCGTAAAATAAAAAAGTAGAGTTTCGAGACTAGCAGTAAATCAGTAATATGAGATGTATTCACCATATTTCGTTTAAGGTGATGAAGGACTGGTAGTAGAATTTTCCCACTATGATATTCATCAACTAATTCATCCACAAATAGAGTAAATACATCTCATATTAAAATAAAAAAGTCATATAACTCACGAAAAAGAATTTATTATGTTTTCACCTATTAATAAATGTATGCGCTTCGAATATTCTAATCATTTTGCTGTTTAGATTTCAGTGCTTCCTTGAAAAAGCACTTCTCTTTACTCCATTGCATCCATGTCTATACTCAGTCGAGACCAAACAGACTAATTCTCGGTACCCTTTGTCCTGCCAGGGGATGGCGCTGTAGGCCGGAGAGAAACTTGTTGTTTTCTCAGAGGCTTACAGAAAGGGTAAGGCCCATTCGTGAAACTTTAAGGACTACATGAGACTACGTTCTCGGCTAGTTAACAGGCAGACTTGAATGTAAACATGAAACATGCATCCCGGCATAGTTCAAATAACTTTCGATGATGTTCTTTCTGAATCCACTGGACGGTACAAATTGTTGCCCACGTAACCATCAATTGCACTTTGGTTGCTGCTGTACAAACGTCAGTTTTCCCACTTTATCCCAGGCTAAGTCTTGGCGAGGAAATCATCTGTTTTGATTAACCCCAGTTTGATTGCCCCTCTTGAAATGCAGCATATTTTTGGCAGATAAAAAACATCAATAAACTAAAAACAGTCATTTCGGATGAAAAAATAAAATTGAATTATTAATAATTAAATTTGGTGTATACACTGCTCTTATCCTGTTCCGGAATATTGCCTTTGACCAAGAGATGCCGGGCAAATTTATCACTTTGAAATAAATAGACCTTATCGAGACGCAGGTAGGAATGTCAATTAGCCTTCCCTCTACAGTTTGATCTGAGATAATAATAAAAAACCGAAAAAACTTTTATTGGTGGAATCGTTGGCCTATTCAAGAAAAATTCTAGTCCTGGACTCTTCAGTCTTTAGGAGCATTAGATGCCAGCCTGACCACAAATCATATGTTCTGATGACTATCTTGCAGTCTTAGTAAGTCTTCCACTATGAACGAAGCGGTTGATGTCAAGATCTTCTGAAAATCTACTCGAGTCATGTGGGGAAGACTAGGGGCATAATCTCCGTTGCCTCATTTTGCATGGGTTTGAGCATAAGACAGTTGCCTGACAAAACTGAGCCAAGTGGAACCACAAGGAATCTCACTTTGGCTGGAGTGGAAACTAGTTGAAATTTCCACTTTTATACCAATTTAGAGACATCATCAGGGCTGGAATTTATTTTTACAGAGGCTTCCAGAGAACACTAAGTAAAGAGGGTCAACCAACTCCACCTTACATGCTGTACATATTCACAACTAAAATAAAAGTGAGAATATATGGAAAAGGAAATAGATAAAACAGGAGGAATTAGCTAGCCATTTAATGTTAATATAAATACTTTTTTGCTTCAGTGCGCGTGTGTTTTGTGAGGTCCCACTTGTATGTGCATAATTACACAAAAGTATGGCGAATGCTTTCGTGTCCTGACAGGCACAGATACAGACGCAACCAAACACACACATACTCACACAAACCTATACACATAGCGTTTAGATTAGCATAAAAAGGATTTTAAAAAGTCGCTCTATTTCTATCTTTATCTATACATGTGCTTTTATTCCTTCTTTAGTTATGAAATTATGCATTCGACTATTAAATATTAGAACATTTCGTAATTATATTATTTATATATCAGCCTTATTAACTTGATATTGGCTTAAAACTTTTTAGAAAAGGAAATTCAGGTCTGTCGATGACTCTAAAATGGTGTGGCATACGAAATATCAGCCCGTTTCCAGCTAGTCTCGTGGACTGCATCAAAATGAAAGTGACATTTACATAAGACGACTGTTGAGCAGCGAGAACAGGCTATCGTCTTCTGGGGAGATCGACTTTCGAATCCCTTCGCTAGGCACTTTCTCACGAAACCAAAGATAGCCGCTCCAACAATGGGCTTAAATGGTAAGGAAATTGGGCAAAAGGTGTTGTTATTTTTCGTATGTAAGTAGAGTGTCGATACTATCAGTAAATCAGTAATATGAGATGCATTTACCCTATTTCGTTTAAGGTGATGAAAAACTGGTAGTAGAATTTTTCCCTCAATAATATGAGTAGAACTAACGTTTCCATTGAATTTCACATATCCTTGCTTTGCCAATGAGAACAATTTTTGGGAAAGCAAGGCTATGTGAAATTCAATGGAAACATCAGCTCTACCCACATCATTGTGGGAAAATTCTACTACCAGTTCTTTATTACCCTAAACGAATTAAGGTAAATACATCTCATAAGAAGTAGACTCACAAAATGATGATTCTAAGAGTAGAGGACAGTGTTGGCAATCTTGGCCCAACTATTGGGGGACTTTAATGAGGAGAGGGGGTTGTAACGGTAAAATCATAGTCTTAAATTAGGAAGAGACGGAGGAGGACGACCGCCGTCCTCGTACATGGGACATCACACAATCATGTAAATAATTCCACGAGTATGGCTGGTCCAGTGGCTATGGCAAAATAGATGCAGTTAGCCAATTCGATTTTACAAGGAGTTATGAGGCAAAAAAGGTACAATCTGAAAAACTTTGGGAAAGAAGTTCGCCGGGTGGATGTACCAGTTAGCAGACAGGATAGAGGATCCACGAGGACGATAAATACGCTTCAGTGAACCAACTTAAAGGTAGACAAGCCTGAAGTTTGTGGGTTAAAAAAGAGATTTGGCCATTGGAAGTAGGAGTGATGCCCAAGTAAATAAAACTATGAGGTGGGAGCTATTACGGTCACAGAGGAAATGTTCTAGGGCATTGACGTCACCTTTTATTATGACGAGTTGCTTCTCGATTATAGACATGGAAAAGGGTACTTTTAATCGTA